ACGTCTGGTATGTGTCCACAGGAAATAAAGCCACCATCTTGGATACGCATCTGTACCCCCATGTCCAGAGCAGCATAATTCACAGCAACCAAGACATGGAAACATCTTCAGTGTCCACAGACAAACAGGGAAAAGAAAATATTATTCAGAGTTAGAAGGAAGTCCTGCCATTTGCAACAACATGAATGGACCCTGAAGGCATCATCCTAAGTGAAATAAGCCAGAGAAAGACATGATCTCACTTCTATATGGAATCTAAGAATGGCAAACTCATAGTAGCAGCAGAATGATGGTTAGCCGGGGCTGGAGGGCCGGGGGGAAACACGGAGAGGTTACCTAAAGTGAGGTATGAGCTAAAGTGAGCTGAGAGGTATCTCAGCTATGAGATGAATAAATTCCGAAGACCTCAAGTACAGCATGATGACTACAGATACTAATTATGCACTATGTATACTTGAGGCCTGCGAGAAAGTCAGTCTCAGGTGCTCTTACCACACACACAGAAAGGCAACTCTGTGAGGGGACAGATACATTGGCCTGACTGTGGTAAGCATTTCAAGATGTACAGGTCTATCAAAACATCATCTTGTGTGCTTCAGACGTGTATAATTTTCGTCAACTATAACTCAGTAACACTGGGAAAGTCACTGAAGAATAACTTTCATACTGCATTTCACTCTGTGTAAATTTTACGTAAAAGAAACCCAGCAAACAGCAACAACCCTATCAACACATACTGAATTCTAAGTATTTAAGGGTAAAAGTAGATTGAGATCTGTAACCTACTTAGAAACACATGGTGGGTAGAGAAATGATGGACACATACACAGCTGTGTAAGGAAACAAGTACAGTAAGTTAGCAGGAGAGCCAGCCTGTAGGTACCCCACTGCCCAGCTCTTGCAACTCTCCTGTATGTTTCAGAATTTTCTCAACAAAATGCTGGGGGGGAAATGCCCGGCTGGCTCTCTTAATCCAAAGTTACAGGACATAGGTGACATACAGGTATATGGAGAGGGGTAAATATTATGTAACATATGAATGTATAAACATAAAAACCACCACCCACCTTCTACCTTCTTACCACACCTGAAAGAATCCTGTTTCACATTGCCAAAATACTAGTCCTTTAATTTTTAATAATTTATTTGTTAAATATTTATAAACTGTCACCTAGATTATACACGAGGCACTCTGCCGTGTGCCTTGGAAAATAACAGCTCACATTCTAAACACCTAATATGTGCTATTTATGTGCATGCATGCATGCATGCATGCATCTATCTATCTATCTATCTAGACACCTCGATATCTATCTGTTTATGCCCAGCATGGAGCCCAATGTGGGGCGTGAACTGACGACCCTGAAATCAAGAGTCAGACGCTTAACCAACTGACCCACCCAAGTGCCTCTCTGTGCAATCATTTAGTTACGAATACTAAGCATGGAATAGCAAGCTGTTTCACAGTCCTGAAATTAATTTTCAAAACTTGTGCATAAACAAGATAGTTTTTCTAATTTGGATTCTGTAAGTATACCTACTTTTATCCCTGGAAGGTTAATTTTTGGCTTGGTGATCAAGTACTTGAGAGCCAACTATATAGCACATGAAAGCAAGAATATTCCCTTAAGGTTTTGCATCTTAGGAGAGTTACTCTGATTTTCTTAATTGTGGATACATTTTATAACTTGGAGAAAAAATAAAACACTTACACCTTATATCTAAATCTCTTTGGGAAAAGAGGCAGCAATATCAGTATGTTCGTGGATTTCAGTTAACCTTCTGGAAAACAAGGTGGCCTCGATTGTCTATTTCATAAACCCTCTTTCTTAGCCAGGGTCTAGAAAAATTTCAGGATTTCTTCCTACTTTAGAAACAAAATCTAAATGTTATGCTGTTGCCCTACCGAGAAGGAAGACTTCAGGAACTAGCAAATATTCCTTTTTAAAAAAAATTCCTTTTAATGTTTATTTATTTTTGGGAGACAGAGAGACAGAGCAGGAGCAGGGGAGGGGCAGAGAGAGAGGGAGATACAGAATCCGAAGCAGGCTCCAGGCTCTGAGCTGTCAGCACAGAGGCCAATGCAGGGCTCGAACCCACAAACTGCGAGATCATGACCTGGGCCGAAGTCAGACACTTAAATGACTGAGCCACCCAGGCATCCCTAAATATTCCTAAGAGTAATCATGAAGCTCCCGACACTCACCGAAGAGTCCTGTTTACGAGAAGGCACATCCAATGGACGTAGAAAGTTAAGGCGGGAAGTTTGTCACAAGCATTGCAGGCTGCTAGAGACCTCTGTGAGGTCAGAGTCACACAAATGGCTGCAGGAAGTGACCTAACGCATTGCTCATGGTGCACAGAAAAGCATGCTGTGCTGCCTTGCCCAGGGAGGATTTTTTTTTTTGAGAAAGGAAGGAATTCTAGGACGGGGTGCTGTTTCACAGTGTGCGCTGTGTGGCTGTCCACTGAGGAAGACGGTGAGGAAGCTGCTGACGAACTGCCAATCACCTTGCTTCTGCGTATCACCTTGCTTCTGCGTAAATCACTGGCTGTTTGGGTCAGCTGCCTGAGAGTCCCACTTCGGCTCAGGTCATGATCTCATGGTTCTTGAGTTCAAGCCCCACATTGGACTCTCTGCTGTCAGTGCAGAGCCCACTTTGGATCCTCTGTCCCCTTCTCTCTCTGCCCCTCTCCCCTACTCACATGCTCTCTCTCTCAAAAATGAAGAAACATTAAAAAAAAAAATCACTGGCTATTAAAGGAGGTGCTCGGAGATCGAGAGCAAAATAACAAAAAGGGAACAGATTTGAGAGTCATGCCTACGTTCAAGTCTCCATTCTGTTACTTAGCAGCTGAGTAATTTGGACTATGCTTGTCTACCAATCAGAGCCTGGATTTCCTCAGAGTTTAATGAGATTAACGTCCCTCCCCCTCCCCTACCCCCGCAGGGTTGCTGGAAGCAGAAATGAGATCATATCTATAAAAAATTCAGTTCAGTGACAGTAATCACTTCGGTAAGTATTAGCCTGTCTCTCTCTCCCCTTTTCCTTGCATATGCAACCCCTTGGTTTTACTGAATGCTAGACAAAACAGTCACTGCAAAACCTCTCTTGGTTACAAACAACTTTGGTCAAGTGGAGACAATGAAGAGGAAGAACCCTCCAGACCTCATCCCAGGCCATGAGACACTCTCACGTGTGCATGAAGAGACGACCGTGCGTCTATCACTTCTGATTTTTCTGAGGCCCTCGGGTATGAAATGTGGGTAAAAGCCGATTTGGGGAGCATGCTTCGGCTTTTAACAATCTTATCTGTCTAGTCATCCTGAAAAAAACTGCCAAATCTAGCACTGCCATTCCTACAAACAATCTCATAAATGCTTTTGGCAATTTGAAGAAGAAGGCAAGATACAGGAAATCTGAATTCTCTTTAGGAAAATCCCTCAGGGCAGTGACCAGAAATGACTACCATCTCACAGAGCTGGGAATTCAGGTACGAGCCATCATGTGCCTCAGAGAGGAGTAAGAAGTATTTCTTAATGAAGACTTTGCAATTTCAAAATAACTCTTGACTGTGAAAATTTTCAGGCACATATAAATGTTTAACAAATCTGAATGTATCCATGACCCAGTTTCGATTTTAAAGCTGGAACTTAAGAGATATTACCTCATCTGTCTACCCGAGACAAAAATGATCTATTCTGAGAGACCTGCCCCTTCAGCATGGTATTCCCCTTGGGGGTGCGGGGACGATCAGAAGCCCTTACAATGAAAACCTCAAAATCACAGTGGAAACCACCCAAATTCTGTTATTTCCAAAACAAAAATCAAAAAGAAACAAAAAACCAAACAAAACCCATCATGGCTTCCCTCTTCCTAGAGAGCTTCAGGGTAGGACAGATCTTCTCGGCGTGCAGATTTTTTACTTTATAGAACCCACTAAATCAATCTGCTGTGAGTAAGAATGACAGCAATCCTGCAGTTCTGTAAACTTTTCCAAGGACTTCTGGCAGACAGTGAGCGCAAGAAAAAGGAAAAAAGTGGAAGAGAGCTCGGGGAGGCCAAATGAGTACGAGAGCCACTGGACAAAAATGAAACAAAAGCGCCTGCAGGTACCTTCACAGGGGCTTTAACTATGTTCCAGCCCGGAATCCCCGAACGCCAAGCCTCTACCGGGACTTTTACACACAGCATCTGCATACCGTGTTGGAGAAACCTCATCTCCCACTAACACCAATGTTCCGGTCCCCTCTGCAGGGTCCTCGTGAAGCCTTCATAAAGGCGTCTTCATAGCTGCCTTGTTTGTGCCCCATCACCCCCTCACGATGGAGACACCCACATGTGATTGTCTGAGAACCACTTGCTGATCCTGCTGTGGGACAGCCCACCATTCTTCTCAGGAGAAAGAACAGTACTCGCTGCAACGAGCTACAAACATAATAAGCAAAAGGTGGCAAACCGTCCACATCCCCCACCCCCTCAGAGAGCCTCAAATTACATGAAAACACCAGGTGACTCATGAGCATGAGCTTGGCTTTCCACTGGGGAGAAGATGGTCTGGGTTCCCTCGCAGAGATCTAGAAAGTTCAATTAAGCAGCTAGATGAGGAGGGGTGACATCAGCAAGCTCAGCAGTGAGCTTCAAGTCTAAACACATTAATCAGAAATGACTCTATGGTTAGTTTACACACATGACGTGTTGCAGTCTGAGCCGCGGTCCCTTCCTGCCCACTGAGAAAAGAATTCACTGCCGTCTGATTTAATTCACAGCAAAGGAGTTTCCATTTCTTTAGGCTTCAAAACCTGCATGTAACCAACCACGATTCTACCTAAGATAAAATGGCCAACGCCTTTTTCTAAGCCCAGCGAGCTGGAGCTCCCTTCCCCAGAAGGGAGGACTTAACACTTCTCTACGATGAGGCAGAGCTGGGGAGACGCTCCGTATGGTCAGCAGGGTCACCAGCGACCAGCACGAGTTGCACACCGAGGCGGACGGTACCTTGGAGAAGATGATGCTGTCCACTTCCTCGCTGGGTGACTGAAAGAGGTCAGAGTCACTCCCGGATTCTCGTTTGAGCACATCCGGTTTTGAGGTGCACTCTCTGCCCAGGCCAACATCCAAGAAGCTGTCACATCCTGAAAAAGAAAATGTATTCAACCAACATGGGGGGGGGGGGAAGGACTCTCTTCATTCCATCAATTAGCCTTTTAAGTCAACCAACTAAGCTGTCCGCCGCCCCACAAGGAGGAAGCTGTAAAGGACACAGTCCAATTAGTAGCTTTCAACGCTGGTTATTCCAATTCTAGGGTGATTGTTACTGTAGGACAACCACGAATAAAAGGTACAAAAAGATAAAATGGTCATTTAGAACCATAATTCCACCTGTATTTAGGTATTTAAGTGGTAATCTTTTCCTCTTGGTAATTAGAGAATATTTTCTTTCACTGTCAAAATCAGAAGTCCTTTATTAGGAAACTATGAGACAGGGTTTATGGCCAATTTCTAAGACTTAAGTTCTTTCTGAAAACTTGTTACTTATCAAATATTGGGGTAATAGACAAAGGGGGAGCATATCTAATATAAATATCGGCATATTACACTTCCGGGTTCTGTTGAGTAAGAAAAGAAATACAGTGATTTAACTTCTACCTTAAACAGACGACACTGGGGGCAGGGGAAATGTACTAATGAAGAAACACGTATCATGTATAATCTGTCTTCGGTTCAATAATTAGCATAGGGCCTCTGGTGAACCAGAGGGAGGGGGGCCTTGGCAGAAACACTGTCTATCAAGGAATTCTGAAGACTTAGTCCACTGAAACTAGCAAGGTACTTAACCTGTTCTCTCCTATTAGCTCTGTAAACAAAATATGACCTGGTGGCAACAGAATTAAAAGTATTTGTATGTGGTAAAACCAAAAGCCTCAAAGAAAGCCGATTAATAGGTAGGCATCAACCTCCTTCAAGCAGTCTGGAGACTGAAGTATCTCCATTCTGGTTGGCACTTTGCTGTGGGATTCAGTCAGACACAGGCAACCCTGCAGCTGACACTAGGTGATGAGGGACAGGACCTACTGAGCTACCTAGCGGTTCATGAGAGCGCTACCTAGCGGTTCATGAGAGCACCACCTGCAGGTTTTGGTTGGAAGGAGATTTAAGAGAAGTTGACAACACAAGGTGAAAGCAAGACACCCCCCCCCCCAATAAAGAGAAAAAGAGAGAGAGTGAAAACACAATGGTTTAGACTCTATTAAGAGACAGTATACCCAAGTCCAAAATGGGGACAGCCCTACCACTATGTGACAGCTAGACCTCACCAATAGGATGATGTTTGTTCCTAGGTAATGTTTACCTTTTATTTATTTTTAAATGTTTATTTATTTTTGACACACACACACACACACACACACACACACACACACACACACACACAGGATCCGAAGGAGGCTCCAGGCTCTGAGGTGTCAGCCTAGAGCCCAGTGAGGGACTTGAACTCACGAACGGTGAGATTATGACCTGAGCCGAAGTCAGATGCTTAACCGACTGAGCCACCCAGGCACCATGTCCTAGGTAACATTTAGATTAAGAACTGATATGAGATGCCTAAGTGGCTCAGTATGTTGTGTCTGGCTCTTGATTTCATTTTGGGTCAGGAACCCAGGGTCATGGATCAATCCTTGCATCAGGCCCCGTGCTGAGCATCGAGCCTGTCTGGGATTCTCTTTCTCCTCTCCTCCCAACTCCCGCCCCTCACGAACTCTCTGTAAAAAAAATAAAATAAAATAAAATAAAATAAAAAATAAATTGAAACACTGATAAACAGAAATGCGTGCGTGGTAAGGAGGTCACGACAGTGGAAACCCTTGAGATACATGTGGCTTTTGCAGAGGTGGAAAAAATGAGTCTGAGGGCGGTTGCAGATTTGCTCTTTGCTGATCCAGAGGTAGAACAAAAAGCCCACTGAGTGGAAGCCACAGAGCTTTACTCTAGACTTCTGGGCAATGGGTTAGCAGCTTCATAAAGTAACGACTGTCACTTCACCAGAAGGGGTGGCACAAAGTCTGAATGACTGTCCAGAGGTTTCAGAAAAGATGTGCATATAGGAAGGGAAGTGGGACATTAGATAACCCCAATGTCTCTCTTAATTCTCAGTCTATGTTTGGACAATAATTGTGTGTGTGTGTTGAGGGATAATGAGAAGAGGAAGTTTATTCTTATCTAAACTAGTTAATTATTGATCATTAATAAATTATTTGCCCCCAGATTAGCTGGGAATCTTAGAGGAAGGGTCAAAGGAGCATCACACTGGAATACTGGTCATGCACTGCTTGGTCACTAAAACTACCTTTTCTCTTAGTAAGGCGTTTGACTAGGTACTGGGGATTATCCAAATAGGGAAAAAAAAAAAAAAAAAAGGGCACCTGGGTGGCTCAGTCGGTTAAGTGTCTGACTTCGGCTCAGGTCATGATCTCACACTTTGTGGGTTCAAGCCCCACATCAGGCTCTATGCTGACAGCTCAGAGCCTGGAACCTGCTTCAGATTCTGTATCTCCCTCTCTCTCTTCTCTGCTCACGCTGTCTCTCTCTCTCTCTCTCTCAGAAATAAAACATTAAATTAAAAAACATTTTTTAAATAAAAATAAAAAGAGACATTTAGTGTGTGTGGGAGCAGATAGTTTGCAACTTTGTAGTGGAAACAGACATGTTAGGAGACAATTTCAACACACAAGCACACAAACGATGCGACAGGGCCCACAGATCAATCTGAGAATGTTCAGCTGAAGGAAAAAAAGTGACCTTAGGCCATTTTAATCTTGGTCCAAGCTATTTCTGAGTGTTTAGTTCAATGGGAATAGCCCTCCCTCTAAGGGGCGACTGCTGCGTGAGTCAGACAGCTATCAACCCTGCGGCTGATACCCAGCAGTTCGTGAGAACTGAACTTGGAATCATGGGTATTCTCGACTCCCTTCCCCACCGCCCCCTATACACATTAGGAGAGTATGGACCAGCTTAGGTGGAGTTGGTGGGTGTAACCTTTCTATTGCTCCCTCTTTCCTCACTTGGAAAAATCGAAAACTCCATTTCATGGTTGAGGGGAAACCAGGGGGCTGGCCAGGGAAAGAAAGGGCTGTCGCAGCAACTATGCTGAGCTGCCGACTCTCCAGCAGGCAAGCAGACCATGTCCACATTCCAGACTGGAAAACAAACCAACTTGAGACATTCTAATGGAAAATTCACAGGGAAGATCCTGCTTCAGCCCTGGTAGGAAGAGTTCACCCAGAAAATCAATCTGAGCCAAGACTCCAAGGGAGCACAAACAGCTGGGGTAAGACTGCTGTGTGATACAATCCTGACTGTGGAGTTGGGGCGGGGGGTGAGGTGGGGAAGGGTATGAAAAGAAGGGATAAGGGGGAGAAAATGACCATAACCATTATGCAACCACACAAGTGGAGGGGGGCCCAAAGCCAAAGCCCTCTGCCGCATGTCCTTCTACACACCCTCTTCCTAACGAATAACATGGAGCAACACGGGAAGGTACATGTAAGAACCATGAACACTGACTGGTTTTAGAGTCAGATCTATCTGGCTTACAGCTAGGTCTGCTTACTTTTAGTATAGAGATCCCAGGCAAGAAGTCATTTAACCCCTTAAGTCTCCATTTCCATACCAAACGGATGAGTGTACCTCCCAGAAGTAGCTGTAGCCACAGTTAGAAATAATTTATACAAATAGTCACCAGGACTCTGACCCTCAGCACCCAGCAGGTGTGGGATAAACACCCCTAACGAAGTTAAAGCTTCATTAACCCATACGGTGTGATTTCACAAGTACCTAAGACGGACAGTACCTTGAGGTGAGCCAGTCCTATTTTATGACCCATACGTAATTCTGCCTATAAATTTCTGTCTCCTGAGACATTAGCTTCTTGAAAAGCTAGCAAAACATGTCATTTTTAAGATGCTCTCTAGTCATTTGGGTTTAAAATTATATATATGCAAACAAATTACAGTAGGGAAAGGGAGGAAAGCCATCCGGCAGCACCCACCGGGATTTGCTGAACCACAGTAACCATAACACATTTGTATTTATTTGTAGTTAAATAAATTTGTATTTATCCAGTACTGAAGAATATCCAAAGTGATTTTAAAACATATTATCTTCTTTGGTTTCACACTATTGCTCTCTTGAGCTATGTTTATAAAGTAAAAGAAATCTCTAAGTTCCAAATTGCCTAGAATTCACCAAACAATTTACCTAACACCAAAATCTCAAGTCTGAAGTCCCAAAGCACAATCCAGGTCCCAGATTTTGCTGCACTGAGATTTAAAAAGACTCACTCTAAGAAGACCAAAGTGGTTATGCTTGGGGCTGGAACGTGTGTTTGTGTGGTGGGGGGTGGGGAGTTGGGGAGTCAACAAAATTCAAGATGATGTCTTGGGAAAAATGCTCAGGGGTTCAAAATTCATTTCTTTAAATAAAGAAATTAAACTCTCCTGTGTGAAGAGACTCCTTGTGAACACTCAAGTTGTAAGACAGCCTCATTTAACCCTTCCTCATGGCACACAGCTTTGCTATTTGGATGGTCAGGGGTAATTACCCTTCTGGAAAGTGCCCACAACGGCTCAAGGAAGCAAAATATGGTGCGCAGTATACTTTTAAGTACAAGATTCTAGGCGGATGGGTGGGGGAAGTGTCAGCTAAGTCTGTGAGCAGGGTCAATCTTATAACACGCAGAGGCTCTGAACACAACCATCCGAGACAAAACTAGAGGAAAACACATTTCGTATTTGTCCCCAACACTTCCTTTGGAGTAAAGTCAGAGTTGAGAATCACTAGGAAAACTCTTGGAGATAGAGGATTTGGACAGTTTGCCTTTGGATTTAATACTAGTCAAGGCATCCACAGCTAAACTGTTTCTATAAAGACCAGTCAATGAGGACTCAGTAATTTTTAAAGCAGGTCAGTAAAACCCGTGAAGGTAAACAAAGGCGTCGTTGAGTCGGGTCGACTCAAGAGCCCAAATTACGTTCATATGGCAGCTCTAGGCCAGGCACAGGGACTTACAGGTACAAGCCATGTGATTCAACACCCCCCACTGAGGAAAGCCTGTGGTGCTGTAGAGCTGGAAGAAAATAGCCCAGCCATTTGGGAACATTCCTCACTTGACTGTGAATTAATGGCTTAACCTGGGTAAAAAGCTGGGCATCCTGACTACCCACAAATCATGTGCTGTGTTGTGAACAAGTCAGGTCTTAGCAGTTGACCCTCACCTGTTGTTAATAATACATCATGGATGTTTAATATAATCTGGGTGTTACTAATACCTCCACTGCTGACAGTACTCCCAAGGTTGACGGTTCTCAATCCTGGCTGTGTAGTGGACTCACCAAAGGAGATTTCAAAGATTCTGAGGCCTGGCTCACACCCCAGGCCCAACTAAATCAGGATCTCTGGGAGCAGGACCCAAGCAGTAGTGTACTTCTAAAGCCCCCAAAAGAATCTCAATGCACAGCCAAAATTGAGGGCTCTCAGGTTTAGCTCTTAATATTTACAGTTTTACCAGACTGAGAAACCATTATCATATATGCACACACAGCAGAGAGGCCTTCACAGAATCAGTAAGTCCTAAAGCTACACGTGAAGACCCACTACTAAAATGGAACTTGGGTAATGAATTACATGACACTATGCATTCTCAGGGAAGACAAAATGCCTACAAACCCAAATTGCACTTACCCCCTCTTCTGACTTAATGGATGGCCTGGTCAGGAAGGACAGACCTCTGAAAACACTGTTACTTAGAGGGGGGACTCCAGCGCTAGGAAACGGACATTTTTTGATACATTTATTCAAGCAACTGGAAACCGGAAAATCGCTGCTCACCTGGGCTCTGTGTGGAAGCCAAAAGAGATGCGGCGTCAGGGCATGGCTTTACTGGACACCAGCTTTCTCGGTTTATCTGAAGGGAAAGAGAAACAGGTCGACATTGAGACAGTGAAGTAATGTGGGATGATGTTATAGGTGCTGCAAGTGTTATCTATTATACCAACATTCCTACCCTTTTCTTTAATACTTTATTATAAAGTAGGTAAAATTATAGCAAGGAAAAAAAATCCCTTTCACAATACAATCAAGGCGTGCCACACTCAGCTAAGGCTCTGAGGAGACCGTTAGTAAAAGCAATAGGATACACAGAGAGGAAGATACACATAGAGGAAGACCTCCAGAGGGCCAAGAGTGAAAATAATATAATAATAATATATATAACATGTAACATAATAATAAAAAGTGACAGATGAAATGCATCACAGTCTAAAATACATATTTGATCTCTTCACTGACAAGTTGAAAACATACAAAAGTAATTTCTATTTATTCAAGATTTACCGTCTGCTGGGTATCAGGTTAAGATTCTATGTACGTTACCCCACTCAATCCCAGCTGCACGAAGTCTGTATTACCTGTACCCAGAGAACAACTAGCCTCAGCAGAGTTGCTGAGGTCAGATGACAGGACTGGCAATGGCATAAGTCTATGTAAATCTAAAGCACATTAAGAAGAAAAGACTCCCTTAAAATAATTTTTAAAAGAAATTTAGTCTTTACAATAGTCAGTCATCTTATTAACATCATTACCATCTACTTTCACTACATTTAAGATAATATAAAATTACCATAAGAGATTTCAAAAGTCATCTCTCCCGTAACTGATAAAACAAGTAAACACAAAATCAGCAAGAATATAGAAAACTTGAAAAACGTTACCAAGCAGTTTGATCTAACCAACCCATGCAGAGCAATTCACCCAACGGCAGCAGAATACGCATTCTTTTCAAGTACACATGGAACGTTCACCACAACAGACCATATTCTGTGGCATAAAAGAAGGCTCAAATTTGAAGATTAAAATCATACTGCGTATGTGCTCTGTCCACAAGAGTATCAAATCAGAAACCAAAATGAGAAGTTACCTGGAAAAACCGCAAAGATTTAAAAAACAAAACAAGACAAAAAACCACACAGAAACCGATGAAAAAATCCATGAATTAAAGAAGAGATCTTAAGGAATTATTCTATATTAAATATTAGAAAACATCTCCAACTGAAAAATTCAAACATCACATATAAACATGTGAGATCCAGCTAAAACAGTGTTTAGAGCAAAACTTAGAACATTAAGTTCCTATATTAGAAAAGAGAGGCTGCAAATTGATGATCTAAGCTTCTAAAACACTAGGAAAACAGGCCTCAATGAAAAAGAAAACAAAAAATAAAATGAATGAAACCACAGCCTGGTTCCCTGTATCACTAAAGCTCTCGCTAGACTGACCAAGAGCAAAAGTGACAAACTGCCGTATCAGGAACTAAAGAGGTCATCGTCACAGTCCCTACAGATACGGAAGGGATAACAAAGGGCTATTATGAACAACATTACTGTAACAGATTCACAAGTTAGATGGAATGGAAACATTTCATGGAGGACACAAACTACCAAAATTCGCTCACGAAGATAAAGATAATCTGAATACCCTTATTCTATCAAAGACATTGAATTTAGTTAAAAACCTTTCTGTAACGAAATCTCCAGGACCAGAGGGGCTTCAGTGGTGAATGGCACCATACATTAAAGGAAGATATAATACCAATTCTACACAAACTCTCCCACAAAATACAAGAGGAAGGAACTATACACAGCTCGTTTTTATGAGTCCAGCATCATCGGGACACCAAAACTAGACAAGGAAATGGTAAGAAAACATAAATCAGTATCCCTCAGGAACACAGATGCAAAATCGTGAAAAAAAATTAAGACACTGAATCCAGCAACATAGAAAAAAGATCAAGTTGTCATGGCCAAGTTCATCCCAGGAAGGGATGAGAAAACAGTTTCATCGAATTTGCTACATGGGATAAGGCAGAAAGCTCTAGGACATTCTGTCAAACAGCAACTGTTTGACAAAGAAGGAAAGCTGCTTGCAAACCTAGATCTACATGAAACACAACAGTAAATCATTTGCTCCTTTTGACTATCTGACCATTAGAGAGAGGACAGGAGCCAGGGACCAGGGGCCACGCATGTTTCGGTTCCTGGTATGTTACAAACCCATGCCAAAAATTTCACAGTGATCCTGAATGGTCACCGATCTTCACTGGTTCCCTGAGATTATGCAAAGTAGGCTCTTTAAAAAGTAATCTGAGTGTCCCCAGAAAGTGACCTCAAATTCAGTAACTATAACAACCATACCTTTCAAAGAATTCGAACAGCAAATTTTCTTTAAAACAAAATATTCCTTCAGAGTAGGATTTCTTTATTGAAAACTGCATCTCATCTGAAATGACCCAAATTTCACCACAGTGAAATGCTTCCCTGCTAACAGTAGCAACAAGGGCCCAGAACTACGATACTTCAGGAGAAAGCTACATTTTGAGGCTGAAAGAGAAAAAAATTGCTTTTCTTCCTTTTATTCCCCAAATAGGAAAAGACTGCATGAATACAGCACAAATTTAAATAATTAACAGAAGCCAAAAAGCTGAGAAGTTCCTTTAAAGTAGTGAAGCTCTGACTTTTCATGACCCTGTGGTCTCCTTCTGTGACCTTCACCAACTTCAGCCAGCATTTTAGAAGACTTTGCTAAAACGCTACATCTTAGAATAGTTTTCACTGCCTTTTCAATTCCATGGCCAATGAGTAAACTGAACATTCTTTGCCTTCAATATGTAAGGGACTAATGGACTATACTTTTCATGTCCTTTTAGGCATTTGCATGTTATAAAAAAGAAGTTAACAATTTGTAAAATAATATATAATATATAAGCAGTTCATTATATGTTAATATAAACAACATGTTTATTTGAAATAGTGTTTTAGTAAAAATTAAAATAAGATATTAAAGCTATTTAAAATAATGTAATAACTATTCAAAGAATGAAATTAAGATGAAATCAAATCTCTAACAGAACACACTCATTTCTGAAATAACAGTGGTGAGAACATATTAATGTTGGAAGAACATTCTTCATGGGTCTCTCCCATCTCTCGTCTTGAGTAAAGGCACTGATCATCCTTTTGTTCTAAATTATCTTTTCAAAAATGTCTGTGTATCGAACAACCTTGGCAGATAGACATATTGTTTCTTTCTGAAGCAAAGGGCAGGTTTGTCTACTGTCCAGCATAATGAAGATAATGTCTCAGTCAAGGGCAAAGATCAAGCGGGCTCACTGCTCATTGTAAGAACTGAAGTTTCCTAAGGGTGAGGGATTTCTTAGCTGTGACCCAGCGTTCACCTGGGCGCCCTCTGGGCTGTCCCTGGGGAACTTGGGAAGCAAGGGAAACCAACAAGAAACTGATCCCTATGGTGCTTTTTGTGCAATGAGTAATAAACTCGTTTGTCCCTGGCCCGGGAGCCCTAGGACTTCAGGCAGCAGCCATGGAACTGTCAGGTTAACCTGGTAGCTGGAAAGTAGGGTAAAATCTCAGACCCCTCAGTTTTGCCAATTAGTATACAGTAAACAGTATAAAATAACATTTAAAACACAGGGGCAGGCAGTCTCTTGATATGATGACACCTATCTGGTGAAAAACCTTAATCTGATTCAGTTTTTTCACTGTATGATCATGCTTGAATGAACATAAAGACACAATATCTATTTTAACTTTTCTGCTGTTTCCCAAATTTTCTTTACAAATTACTTTTTGATTTTTACAACTGATTCTGGCTAGCCTTCTATTTTGTACTAACTTTAGGTTGACAGAAAGGTTACAAAGATAGCCCTCTCCCACCAGTATCGCCAATGTTAACATCTCACATAACCCTGGCACATTCGTCAACAGTAAGACCCTGACATCGGTCTGTTACCATTAACTAAATTCTGGACTTGATTTGGATTTCATTTCTCTTTCCAATAATGTGCTTTTCTGTTCCAGGATCAAAACCAGGATACCACAGTGCACGGAGTGTGACTGTGTGTGTGTGTGTATATGTGTGGGGGTGGTAATTTGACATTTTAACATCTTTACTGAAATGTACTTCATATACTCTAAAGCTCACCCGTTTAAGTGCATGATTCAGTGGTTGAGGATATTTGCAGACTTGTAACCATCACCACTGTCTAAGTTTAGAACATTTTCTTCATGCCAAGAAGACATTCAAGCCCCACCCCGACCTCCATTTCCCAGTTCTGAGCAATCATGAATCTACTTACTGTCTGTCTCCATGGATTTGCCTACTCCAGACACTGCGCATAAACGGCATCACATATCACATGGTCTTTTGGGACTTGCTTCTTTCAATTAGCAGAGTGTTTTCAAGGTTTTCCCATGTTGTAGCACAGATCAGTACTTCATTCCTTTTACTACCAGATATCATCCCTCTGTGTGGGGATACCCTCATGTTATTTGTTTGTTCGTTCATTTGTTGTTTTCACTTTCTGGCTGTTTGGAATAATGCTGCTATGAAAATCCTTACACAAGTTTTTGTTTGGACGTGTTTTCGTTTCTCCTGGGTTTACACCTAACGAGAGAAAGTGCTGGGCCATGTGATACCTTTGTGTTAGACACTCTTAAGAACCACCAGACTCTTCCAAAGGGGCTGCACCAGGTGAGCTCCCTGCCAGCAGTAAACGGCTGTTTTCTTGTTCCTCATCTGCGCCCACACTGGTTATTATTCTTGTGCACCTGACTGTGACCACGATAGGGGGTGTGAAGTACTATCTTATAGGAGTACTTGTTTTTTGAATGGAAAAAATATTTTAATCTGTTGGTTACTTTCTCAGAATGGAAGACAGTATGAAGATGGAGTGCTCTTCAGGTTTGTCTCCCTACTTATTTAAAGCCAAAAAAAAAAAAAAAAAGGTATTTAAATACCTTCTAAGTATCAAATTCTATGCGAAGCCTTAAAAGCAGAAGTAGTAAAGAGCACGTTCTGAAAGGACTCCCAGTTTGTGAGAGAGACGTGAAAGT